ACAAGAAAGTTATTTGTATCCATCCGCAGACTATGAAGTCATACATAATTGAATAAAAAGAATAATTTTCAATTAGAAATTATTTCGTTAATTTAAAAATAGATTTTCTTTCCAATTACGGAAATTAAAATACGTGAAATTCTTATCTTAATATTTTAAAAAAACTTAATCATGAAAAAATTTATATTATTATTTTTAAGTACTTCATTTAACTTTATGCATTGGGTGGGCCTCACTTATATTTAAAAAACAATAAAAGAAATTCAAAATAGTCCACTTCCCATCTCTACTTGAGACACAGTTCTCACTTGAATAAATAAATAAATAAATAAATAAAAACTGTGTTTAACATAATATGATGTTTTAACTCCGAATAATTTTGGAATATAGTCATTACTTTAAATTTCTATTTATTTTCACTTGGCCCTTCTTTTCTTCCTTCCTTCTAAAATCTAGATAGATGCATTTTTATATATTATTATTTATTTCATTTCTCAAAGCAAAGCATTGCATCTTCTTTCTTTAGTTTTCTTTTCCTTTCTTTTTTATCCATATAGATATACATAAGTAAATTAGACCAGGCAATCAAATGCTTAAAATAATAATATGTTAAGTTATTTTGAACATTCTTAATCTTAAAAATTAATTTATAAAATAAATTTTTTTTATATTTAGATATTTTATCATATGTTCTTTACATAACCTATATAACATACTAAATATTTTCCTCTTTTACTTATCATGCTAGTCATTATATCTAATTACACCATGAAATTGTGGCAGACTAGACTTTAATAGTATTATTAGGTGGCACAAGATTTTTTCACCCAAAAAATAAAATTATAAAGTGAAAATTTTCTGATAATTATATATTGAGACTAATTCATTTCCCAGAAATTGGAAATTCGGGATGTTTGCCTTAAATTCAACGTATGGTTGCCTCGACAGTCGCTGAATGTGACTCTAATTGAAATGACCGCGTAATTAATTATGATGTGGAAATTGAGCACACCTTACCAAACCCACACTCAAGAACCTTCTCTTCCATCCGTTCTAGAGAGAGAGAGAGAGAGAGAGAGAGAGAGAGTTGACGTCAACTGGGTGAAGTGAAAATTTAGTGAGAGAAGGAGTTTTATCGTGCATTTCAATTTCTGGGAACGGTCGAGATTAGGCAGAGAGAGGACAGAGAGAATAAAGTTAAATCATTTAACTTTATGCATTGTGTGGGTCTCACTTATATTTGAAAAACAATAAAAGAAATTCAAAATAGTCCACTTCCTATCTCCATTTATGACACAGCTTTCACTGGATAAATAAATAAATAAAATCGCGTTTTACATTGTGTGGGGTTTGGACATGGAATCATTTTGGAAAATACTCTTTTACTTTAATTTTATATTTATTTACGCTTGGCCCTTTTTTTTTCTTCCATCCTTCTAGAATCTAGAATCAAAAAGATGTGTTTTTATATATTATCATTTATTTTATTTCTCAAAGCAAAGCATTGCATTTTTTCTTTTCGTTTTTTTCCTTCTTTTCTTTTTTTCTTTATCTGGTACCTCGGTATACATGAGTAAATTGGACCGGGTCTATCAAATGTTTAATATAATAATATGTTGGGTTATTTTGGCCTCTCTTGATCTAAAATATTAGTTCATAAAATAAGATTCTTTTTCTTACACTTTATCTTCTATCCTATCCACAACATATACGAGACACTAAACATTCCCCCTTTTGTACATATGGGGCCAGCTATCATACCTGAAAACACTATAGAGATGTTGCAAACTCTAATTTTGATATCTTGTTAAGTGGTGTAGAGTTTTCTCAACCCAAAAAAACTAATTCATTGAGTGATATTTTCTCTCATAATTATATATTGATCACCTATTCTTTTCACATTTAATGTGACATACCAAACATAATAATATATCACATCCCATGTTTACTTAATTTTAAGTCTCAGTTAATCTTTTATTTATATGTTTATTTAACTCAAAATCTCATTGATACTAGAGCAAGTTTTTAGTTGCTCAACTAAAATAAATCCTGTCAAACTAAAGTGGTTCTCTGCCTTGGCTGCTTTTGTATTCCCCTTCATTTAAATCCGTGGTCCTAGATTCATAATCCTGTGCTTTCAAGTGCTTCATCGAATGTTCTGGTTACCCTTCATTTATCTCTTTGATTGTATGATAGATTTTGGTTTATGACTCGTAATAACCCTTATCACTAGCAACAGAAGTATCTGTTGAACAAAAAATCTAGAAGTTAATATTTAACATTATTGTTGTAGAATTTTAAGTGATTGAAATATGGAGAATTAATTAATTAGTTTCAATTGTAAGATTTTTTTAAAAAAGTGATGGATAGGAAAAAAAGTTATCAATATGAGTTGTTCTTTTTGTTTGTTTAGGAATCTACACATAAACCCAACTCAAAATTAGAGATTAAACACTTTTTCAACTCAAATTTTATTCTAAATTACTTTTTATTTGAAAATGAATGATTTGATTTAAGTTAAAACGCAAAAAAAAAAAGAGTAAATAAGAGTCACCTCCCTTCAAATTTACTTAAATAACACTTAATCCTATTCTTATCCTAAAAACACTCTATTCCTTTAACTAAAATTGACTAATAATTTTCATCAACTTTCCATTTGATAATATTGATTTAAATTATTAAAATTAATTTTTTGTATATTATATAAAAATATTTAATAAAAATAAATAAATTTCTTGTCATATAAAATTATATTGCTCATTATAATTGAAAAATATTAATAAATTGATTCATTCATTAAAAAGAATTAATTTTTCTAAAATTTTAAATTTTAAATTTTTTGTTACTTGATTTAATATAAAAAATAAAAAAAATAAGAATTTAAATTATTATGTTTTTTAATTTTTAAAAATTAGTTTTTAATATTAAATGAAGTAATATAAAAATAAAAATTTGAAAATGCAAAAATTAACTTTTTTAACAATTGAATTAACTTTTTAATATTTTTTGACTATAATAAATAATTTAATTTTATATAGTAAAAAATTTATTTTATAAAACCTTTTTATGTGTTATATTTTATATTATATATAATATAAAAATTAATTTATTATTTTAAATTAATATCATCTAAGTATATGAAATTATTAATTAATTTTGGATAAAAATATTTTTAAAAATAAAAATAATACTAATCATCATTTAAATAAATTTAAAAAGGAAAAGTATTATTTAACTGAAAGAAAAAGGAAGGATGACGTCTTGAACTCGTTGTTGTCTATTAATTTAACGAAAATAATGCTAATCATCATTTAAACAAATTTAAAAGAAGAAAAGAATTATTTAACTGAATGCAAAAGAAAGATGATGGCTTGAGCTCGATGTTGACTATTAGTCTAACAAAATAATACTAATAACTATTTAAATAAACTTAAAAGAAGAAAAGTATTATTTAACTAAATGAAAAAGAAAGATCACGTCTTGAACTCGATGTTGTCTGTTAGTTTAACAATAATAATAATAATAATTTCATTTAAATAAATTTAAAAAATATTATTTTAACTGAATGAAAAAGAAAGACGAGGCTTGAACTTGGTGTTGTCTATTAATTTAACAAAGAACTTTGTTGAATTCAAGGTACGAGATTGCCTTAACGGCCGCCCAGTGTGGAATGACAGCTCCAATTATTTATAATTTGGACACCAAACAAATCCCACCAACCGCTACATTCCTTTCTGTCTCTCTATTCAATATTATTTAGTCGGGGTGGCAAAAAATTTTATAATAAAGTGGGAGGGTGAGGCAGGCACTACAGACTCTCAGTAATCGCTTAAGAAGGAAGAAACCGTCTCCAGCTCCACGCATTGTTCTTCAGATTAAATGCTGAGATCCAATTTATATATGCAAAAATTATTTTAATTTTATTAAAATAATCAATGCATCATACAAATTTAAACAAGGGTTTGAAAAAGGTTTAGTAATTAATTGTCCGAATCATTTTTTTATTGAATATCTATGCGAAAAAAAGAGTAGTTAATTTATTTATTATATGCAAAAGTTTATTCCTAAATTTATTATATACTTAGCTTTTGGTCCCCTTCCGATAACTTGTAGTTCAGTCCACGAAGCTCAGCATGTTTATTCAAGGAATTTTAAAGTTTACCCAATACGAAACACATTGTTAACCAGCCGAACTTGGAGCTGCCCACAAAGTACACAGCTCATTTACAATTGTCCACGGTGCAAAGCCCACACTAGGAATGAAGATAATCTGCCAGTGACATGGGCCTGTATCAGTTAAAGGCCAGGCCAAATTCTGGTTTAACAATTAGAGGACACTACTAATATGGTCCGTACAACAGAAGACAATCGCAACTGCCTATCCGGCCCAATCCCTCGAACGAAAATTAGTTTTCATGATAACTAATCTTGGGTAGAAACAATTTAATATTTATCAGCATTTTCAAATATAATAATTATTTTTGAATCAACAAAGTAAGATCATTTCCTTATAATTATTTTTTATATTTGCTCCAAGTTCTCTATACTTTTTCATGAGCACAGGGTAGCTCATAGTCATTGGGTTGGGGGAGGAGGGTTTCAAGGACCTTCTCTCATTCCATCTTTGCATTGGGACGTTTCTCGTTACTAATGAATTACCTATCCTAATTATATGGCTGGGAGTGTAGCGTCCTTGGAGAGCATGATAGGGAGCGGGTCAGAGATTTCTTAAATTCATCGATAGTATGGATGAAATTTTAGTCAAAATTTGGAGAGACCAATAGAAGTTGAAAATAGCTTGAAACTTGAAGTTTAAAAAGGTTCTTTTGGGAGTGGACTCCAAGATTTTTATAAAAACTATTGAGGAAAGATAGTTAAGCAAGATCAAATCTTCCATTTAATAAAATTGGTAAGTCTGTCAAGTACATTTTTAGATAAGTAAAAGACCATACGAGTTGTCTGATCAAAATAAATTTATCCTAAGAATTTGGTAAAGAAGATTATGCCTTCCCTCCAGTCAAATCAAAATGGTGTTCTGCCTTAATTTCTTGAAAGTCCATCCCTGCAATTCATAATTTAATATTTGTTTTATTTTCTGAATTCCGCCCCATTGTACCCCAAAAAAGAAAAATAATTGCCTCTCCTAATTCTTTTTATTTTTAAATTTACCATAATATAAAACTCTTGAATTAATGGAAAAAATACGGTTAAAGATAATAAAAAATTCTACGCGATGGTAAAATGCAGAAGAAAAGGATAAAAAATTTCCTTCCACCAACATCGTAATTCTAATTGTCAAGAATGAAAATGCAGTAATAAAATTATATTTCTTCTTACACAAATTTCACCTTGTTCTTGAGGGACAAAAAGTAATCGTGTAACCAGCGCCAGTACACGTAAACGTACTCGTAGGGTCATCGTACGCGTAGCTATAAGAAGTCGGACAGGCCTCTTTGAATATCTGCGAGTACTCCGACGGCTTACACTTGTCTGGTGTGCTGTACCGCCGCTACAGCAGTATTCCTCGCTCCCAAAGGCCTCGCACGCGCTTTTGCAGGCGTCGCCGTTGGCCGCCTTCAACTCCGACGGGCACCGCCGGTTTAGGTCCGCCACACAACCGGCCGAACCGCATCCGCCCGATCCGCCCTTCGCCTCCACTTCCACCGGCAAATTGTATCCATCCACCAAGCTCACGTCGTAGAAGTCCTGCCCGCCGCCTGTTCCCAGCGTGAACTCTGCCAGCGTCACTGGTGGAGCGGCTCCTGTCCCACTGCACTCCAACTTGCCGGAGCCGCAGTCGCCGGTGGTACACGACCCCGAACCGGTCCGTCGAACTTGCACCCTGTTCGGCCCCAGAACCTTCCCGACCAGCCTGCCGGAGCCTGGAAGGTTCGGGATTTCCCCTGCGGTAACTCGAAGCCGGTGCTGTCGAGCTTGGGCCCGCCAGCGTTTGCGAGTATGCCGGGCCAAACTGTGAAGTCACATCTGTTTATGAAAGTGAATGTTGCAGAAGAACCTGAGAAAACAGAAAATAATGCATTAGAAAACCAGAAATGAAATGTCAATGGGCCCAAGCGACTAGAGATGGGGAACTTGCTGGGCTTTGCTTACCATATTGGACGCTCCAAGTTTGGATCCAATCCAGCTTGTATACGTCCATTTCAGGCTAATCCAATTAACAAATCCAAGACTAACAGGTTGAGCAAGTGAAGGTCCTCAAAAGCCCTTCGCAAGGGAAACTAGGCTACCCATAAAGTTTCTTCAACATTATTATCATTATTTATATTCACTGCAACTGAGATTTCTTACCATCTGCCCCTGTCCATTTCATTTACAAACCAATTACAGCGTTGCTCTTGAAAGGAATAATTTTAACAGGACTATATGGGAGGAGTTGAGAAGGAAAGCTTAGGGCACTAGTTCAATACATTTAAGCATAAGACGTAAGGGATCAAATCAAATGAGAAGAAATCAAGATTTACCTCTCTACAGAAGGATGTGGAAGCTGGTGAAAATGAACCACAACCATACTTCAATTTGCGAGATTGAACAAACAGAAGATGACTATGTTTAGCAAAAACAGTACAAGATATTGAATCAAGGAGTTTGACATTTCTGCCTTAACAAGTTCTAGCACGAACCTAAAAAATCTGATATAACTCACAGTTCAAATGAAACATCCCCATTCAAAATGATGGCCATACTGTATTTGTCCACATGGAATTTAACAGCTAGACCTATTAAAACAAAAAGGAGAATGATAGGAAGAGGAGAAGATATATGTAGTCCCCCACCAATGAAAACAAAAAGGAAAAGGAAGTATTCAGTCTTCAGACATCAAAACTCAACAGCATGTTAGGCTCGTTCTTCCAAAGACCTAGGGAACCTCATCTAATCAGCATCAGCTAAGGCAAAGAGAATTACCCAACACTCCCAGATTCCGGAGACCATAAGATTTTTTATTTAATTATGAAATTTCCTCTCATTCTGGCCTTTAGGTAATAAGGGGCAAGGTAGGAGATGACTTTAAAAGGACAGAAAGGCATACCAAGATACCAGGTAGTTATATATATACACAAGCCTCATAAAGTGTCAAAGCAGTATTAATAAAATGAACCATTGGAGAGGCTAAAACTCAGAAATTGCGGCGAAAACACAGACAACACAAAGGGCAGCGTTGAACTATGACCAACCTGGCGATGGGACTGGAGGATCTCGAGCCGACTTATGATGGCGGTGGTGAAGGTACATCATGGACTTGTTCACCAGAGGCAGCTCGGCCCCGTCCCTCCGGACTCCTAACACCTTTTGGCTGTACCAATTGATCCCATACAAATTGATTGTAAGTATTTGACTGAGAATTCTGTATCATAACTAATGACATAGCTGTATGCGTAGAGAGGATAAAAGGACCGACTCAATAATAAGTCACCTAATACTTAGAGCTGAAGGAAGAATTGGGTGCCACAGAGATAAGAAGGGAAAAGAAATTGAAGGGTCGCTACATGCTTTGCAGCGAAGGAACGGTGTAGATACGTACAAGAGTTTGCAGTCCATGTCATGTAGATATTAATTATTAAAAGACTTTTAATCTTTTGGTTTCTTCTTTCCTCCTTTCTTGTTCCATAACGAAGACAAGAAACTATTAAAAGAGACCTCTATCGATAAGACCGTCAGGTATTCAGGGAAATCACTTTTAAAAATATTATTTCAAAAGACCCACTAGTTGGCACTTGATAGGTAAGTTGAAAGATAGTGGTACATAATTCGCAAATAGAGAACTCCATTGATATGGATTGGAAGTGGCTTCTCCGTCTATGCTAGAAAAACCCAGTTCAATGAATTAGAATTTTGAATGGTCAATGGATTATTTTCTCACAAAAAAGGAAAGAAATACAAAATAGTTTAATAGCAGTACTAAGCAAAATCCATATAATATCAAATTTTACAGTGCAAAATTTGACTACAGAACCACCATCCACCAACCACCAATACCATTACTAAGCAAAATGCATATAAAATCAAAATTTATAGTGCAACGGAGAGTAATTTGACTACAGAACCAACATCTACCAACCACCACCATCTCTGCCACAGCCGCTGCGGCAGCACCACCACACAATCGTCACGGCAACACCTCCTACTCCTCCCTTATCTAGAAACCATTTTCCATGACCGAGTTAACTCAGTTGAACCAAATAATGCAAACGCAATTAATTGGACCATATTAATGCCACAAAATCTAAGGCGTTGAAAACAACGATTAAGTACTGACTTAGGCAACGCGGGAAAATTGATGAAGATTGATTGGAACATCAAACCGCCCAAACATCACCAACTATCCGTATTGACCAAATTACCCTCCAATTTCACAAAATATGAGACCTGAGCAAAAATCATTGCAAGGGTGGACAAGTGATTTTACCTCGTATAAGGCGGAGGACAGAACATGATGGTGTAGTCAGCGCCGGTGCAGGTGAAGGTGCTCGTCCGATCGTCGTAGGCGTAGCTATAGGCGCGGGGGCAGGTGCTCTTGAAATACCGTGAGTACGCGGATGGAGGGCAAGTATCCGGCGTTGAGTATCCCCCGGAGCAACAATACTTGGGGTCGTCGAACGCCAGACACGCGCTCTTGCAAGCGATGATCTCGGTGGAATTTTCACGCGCCACCGAGAGCTCCGGCGGACAAGCGGCGTTTACGTCCACCAGGCACCGGTAGCAGCGCATCCTCCTTTCACGCCACCACGTGCCACCACCAGCACCGGGACGTTGTACCCGTCGACAAGGCTCACGTCGTAGAAGTCCATCCCCTGGTCGCCGCTGAGGGTGAACTCCACAAGAGTCGTCGGCGGAGTGGCTCCAGCGCCGGCGCATTCCACCTTTCCGGAGACGCAGTCACCGGTGGCGCAGGAGAACTTCCCGGAGCTGTCATCGGAGCATAGGGTCCGGGCCCACACGCGGCCCGACCAGGACTTGGGAACCGAGAGGGTCCGCGACTTGCCGGACCTGAGGGCGAAGCCCGTGGGCCTGAGCATCGTCCGGTTTGCGCCGGTGAGAATCCCCGGCCATATCGTGTGCCGGCACTTGTTGACGATTTTGAATCGGGTGGATTCTACCTCTGTGAATTAAACAAGGAATCAAACATGTTAGACATTGAAAAAAGAGACGATTGAGGAGACATAATTATCTGGGCAAGTCGATTTTATGCTCAAATTTGTCACCTGATAGGGAAGAGATAGAGAGTAGACCAAGAATCCAGGCTGATAAGAGAAGGCGATCCATCTGGGAGTCTGCGAATCGTAGAAAATTTGGGCTTCGTTTCTCCGGGAGGGTTTTAGGAAAAGTTGAAAGTGGAGGCGGAGGCGGGGGCGGGAGGCCAATGGCCCTTTCCCTCCGGACTCCCTCTTTCGGTTTATTCTATTTCTGTAATCGGAATAGTTATATAAAATATATCAGCAGAAAGTTTTGTCCTAACATATAATTTTTAATTTGTGCTTTCTTAATTAATTTTCCACCATCCAAAGCATAAGCAAATAAATAAATCCTACCCTGTACAGAGAATAAGAACTAGGTAGTCACAAAAGTATATATTAGTTAAATAAAAACAAAGTCATTACTCGGTGTTGTGAGTGAGCTTAAGCGTGTTTAGTCATCAAATTTTTTTAACTGGAGTATTTGAGTTTTAAATTGGAAATACTAAAAATACTGGTTTCTAAAATTTTTAAACTTAAAAGTAACTTCAAAAGTTTGGACCACCAAATATCTCTTGCTTTAGAAAAAGTAATTCCACAAAAGTATAAAAGATAATTTGGAATCGGGAAAAATTTTGGTTTCTTACGACGTACAAGCTTTTTCATTTTTTCTGATTTCCAATTGTTTTCGAAAGATAAAGAAGGATCACAGATTAACCTCGTACGAAGGTACCTTTTAGTTCTTTTCCTCTTGTTAAAAGAAAATTAAGAAAAAGAAGGGAGAATGGTGCAGCTATTAGAGGCTCTTTTTTTTTTTATATATATAAACACATATATATATATTTATCAATATATATTTGTTGAGAATATTTACAAAATCTAATTATTGTAGGGGTATTGGAAACTCGGTTCTCATGAATCTTTTTTCCATTACATATTTATTTTATTTTTTTAAATGGAACAAAAGTCGTTTTCTATTGGAACTGACTTCCAAAAGGAAGTACATTTCTGGTTTATCCTTCTAAAATTGGTTGGCCAGTTGGCTTCGAGGACTATGATTTTGGTTTACACACGTATACTCCTTTCATCTAAAAACTATTCGTCTTATCCATCGTTCATTTGATTGTGTGTCTATTTTTGTCCATTTGCACCATTTTTCCAGCATTTGATCGTGTAATGTCCCTTTGGTATATTATCTGACCATTTTCTGGCATAGCATTTATCCGCTCGTCTGTACTTCCATTTAACAAATCATTCAACCAATTGTCTAATTGATGGTACATTTGTTCGAACTGTCTATCCAGATCGTATGCCCATTTGTGAATCAATCTGTCTGTTTGATTAATCGTTCATTTAACCATCAGTTCGTCTGTTTATCTAACCATATTGTGCATTCGTCTATTCATGCATTCAGTAGAGTATCAGTTTATCCCTTTGATTGACTATTTGTTTAATCAACTGTCTAATTGTTGAACTGATTATTTATCCACCCTATTGATTGTCAGTTGAACTGTTTGATTGATTGTCAAAATCGACTGACTCTACGTCCATTTGACAAAATATCCAGCCAATCAAATGGACTTATAGTTGATCGATTTGATACTCAGTTGAGTAGTTCGACTGACAGTCAGTGGGATTAACTAACAAACAATCTAATAGTTAGATGGTTTGTTCGACGATAGTCAATTGGACGAACAAATTGATGATTCGTCGAATGCCACTACAAAAAAATGGTGAATTACTGACGCAAAAAAATGGTCAGTAAGACAGAAATTTGGCCGGAAATAGGGTTACTGACGCAAAAGTATTCGTCGGAAAAATAGCCATCAGAAAAAATTTACCGATGCAAAAAATTTTGCGTCAAAAATTTCCGACAAATATTGGGCCACAAATTGTGTCAGAATTTACCAATTAAGGGAAGTGTCGGAAATTTCCGACGCAAAATTTTGCGTTGGTAGTTAATTTATTATTTTTAATTATTAAATATTAAATTGTTTTATTATTAAATATTAAATTTTTTTAGTATTATTAATTATTAAATTCTTATTATTATTTAATTTTTAATATTAATTTTAAAAATTTTGGAAATATATATTTTATAATAATTTATTTAAGACATTTATATGAAATTGAAAAAACATGTGCATAAATAATACTCAAATATCTTATTACAAACATAAAATAGAGTGTCACTAAACATATATATGAAACAAAATCTCAAAAAAAGAAAAATCACTCCCGACAGCTGCCATTGCCCGACTGAGATACAGAGTAGTCAAAATCGTGAGCAAGCGTCGGAGGGCATGACTGATCAGGTAGTGTGCTCCTCATCCCTTCAACCACCTTAATCAGGTGATGAATGGTAAGCTCCATGCTCCCCACCTTCTCCCGAAGCTCCTGATTCTCCTGATGGAGAGTCTGCACATCTGATCTCATAGACTGATCCACACTGTTGGATGAAGAATAGTGGACTAACTGAGAAAAACTATACCTTCCAAGATCGTACACACGGTCGAAGGCTCTCCCCCGAGCGCACTTCTCCCACAGCTGAGTGTCTGCTATGCGCTGAGACTCTAGAGTAGATGTCTCCTCAGGTGTTGACTGGGAGGATCGGACATCTTAAAAGTCAGCCTACATACACAAAGTATACCATAAAATAAGTTTAATAATTAAAAATATTAATTATAAAAAGTTAATAAATAATATAAGTATACTCACATAAAATTTAATAAAGATGTTAAATAAAATTTACTTACATAAGTCTTCTCCGATGGCTAGTCCACCCACACCTCCTCACTATCTTTCTTCCTAACATGCATATGCTGAAAAACCTCAAAAAAATGGGGAGTCCGCCTAATCTCTTTTTCTTACAATAATACATAATAAAAATTTTGTAATTATTTATAACTCTGAGATAATAATAAAATTTATGTACAGGAATAAAATTTACTATCCTCATAGCATGCTCATGTGGTGGAATAGAGCCTCCTGTGTTAAGAGAACTGCCTTTTTCCGAATGGCGGTCCTCTTTATTCTAGGAACTTACCCTAGTAAACCTCTCTCCTCTCCAATAAGCCTGAAGCTCCTCCCACACAGAATGTGAGATCCGGTCTGATCTGCCTCTAATCCAGACATCTTGAATCATATCAAAAAGCCTATAAGATCCACGAGCACTGAATATCCGTCTAATGACTGGCTCGTCTCACGGATCTCATGTACAATATTTTTGCATGAAGACAGAAATAAATAGTTAATAAAAAATATCAATTAATAATACAGATTAAAAAATATTTAACCATGACTGCATTGAAATACGAACCTGAAACACATCAAACCACAAATCACAAGAAACTATCTTCCATGGGGGATAACACGATGTGAACTTCGCCCGAATGACCGCTGTGATGGCATGAGTAGCAGCCGTCGAATGATGAAATCTGCAACAGCAAAAAAATTATAAAATTAATACTGATATTTGATCCATTAAGAAATATTTATTAAAATTTTTTGAATAATACTTACCCGACGTCACCAATGGGCCTGATCAGCGTCTTCCAGAACTGCTACAACATGTGCCAGATGATCCGACTCGAGCAGGATCGGACGGAGAAGAATATGGTACAGGGACTGAAGGAGCAGTACTATTAGTAGAGGCAGCCGCACTGCACGTAGATGCTGGTGAAACAGGTCCTCCAGTAGTAGATGGAATAGGCACATATCCAAGAGTAGACATGAACTGAGGAGGTCGCGACATGTACTGAAAATGTGAAGCCCTATAATCATAATAGGCACGGGTAGGATTGTGGGGCTCCTTGATAATAACTAGTGGTAAGGGGCCTGATGGGTCATGTACAGGAGAATCGCGCCGCTTCTTCGAGCGGCCAGTATCTATCCCGTTACCCTTATCGGGCTTACGCTCGGAATCCATTTGCATTGATAGATATATATAAATATAATTTTTTTCTTAAAATTACATAAGATAAAATGAAGTATTACTTATTTTAAATTAATATATAATTTTTTTTAAATTGATATGTAATTTATTTTTTAATAACCTCTATAGTTCCAAAATTAAGAAAAGAAACAAATTATTATACAATGAAATAAAATATATTAATAACTCAAAAATATAGTAGAAAATACATTGTCGCAAAACATACAAAACAAAAATATAACAATTCAATCTGAACAACTTTGATCATCCTCATTCGCCACCTATTCATCCTCCTCCTTTCTTCCTCATAATCTCCCGATGGTTCAGTGTCGTCATCATATTCAAAAATTCTTCCTCCTAATCTTCATTTTCATATTGATCATCTTCTGTCAGTCGTTCTTGATACAATTGCCCTGGATCAATCTCGTCATATAATCCTGCTTCATGACGCAATCCATCTAATGGATCGACATCAATTACAGGCATTACATGAGACATAGACCCTTCTTGATAAACTTCTTCAGCACTTATATTTTCAATTTCTATTCGCCTCATTGGTTTTGTTTTCATAACCACCCACTAATGGGCCTTGTCTCTTCGAATGGCTGGATAAGGAATATAATAAACTTGTCTAACATTTTGAGCAATGATGAACGGATCATATTGATTATGTTCCATACTGCAATTAACCTCAACAATGTTATAAAGGGGATGAACTCTTGTACCACGAGGCCTTCTTAGATCAAACCATTTACACAAAAACAAAACAACCCTTTTCATAGGTTCTCGTGGATATTCCAATTCTATAACTTCCCGAAGGATACCATAATATTCAATATTTTCCACACTGCTAACACTTTTTACACATACACCACTATTAACTGTTTTCCTTCCTTGGGAGTATTCATCTATATGGAACTTATAATCATTCACAAAATACTTGTAGTACGATCTCACACTTAAATTTGGTCGCAATGCTAAATCACGTAAGTGCGGATTTGTAACACTATTGGCACGATCATGTACCTATTTATAATATATTGATAAAGTTAATCATATAAAATAATATTATAACTTCACGTGTAAATGATATACTTACGTAAGCCTTAAACCAGGTAGGAAATTCATTTTGAATCCGTGACTTAGCATCTTCTTGACCTATGCCATTCAAATGTAAAAAAAATTACAAATAAAAAATATGTTCAACACTACATTATTTATCAACCTATAAATGTTATAAAAATAACTCGAATAATATTGAAGTAAAAATTACTCAATGAATGGTTGTACTTTATTGCAATTTAAAAGAACGTGCAAAGTTGCAGAATATCTCTTTGTTCTGACATATATTTATTTGCACAAACTCTAAAACTATGACCAGGTTGATTAAAAATTGAGAATGTTGGGAGACCATTGCTCATACCACCATCATCATTTTGAGGTAATCTCGTTTTAGATGACAACACGCCGGCCTTAAAATAATATGAAG